CGAGGTGCGGAAGTACGAGGATGCGTTCGTGGAGTTGCAATGGGAGAAGGCAGGGAACGCCCGATGTAAAGGAGGAATGTGCCTCGAGTGCGAGGAGCCCAAGCGGCACTTGAAGTGTTCACGCTGCGGCCAGGAGCTGTTGCGGGTCGAATTTTCTAGAGCGGAGCAGTGCATGGACGAACCGACATGCAAGTCGCGTAAGGCGTCGCAGAGAAAGGAGGAGAAGGCGCAGGCGGAGGCAGAAAAACGGGCAGTATGCTCGAAGTGCGGTGAGTCGAAGACAAAGGCAGAGTTTTCCAGGCGCACTCTGGACCACGCGGACGGAGCGTCGGTAGTATGTACCACGTGCGTGGACGCCGCGGCTGCAGAGCGGGACGCGCAATCAAGGAAGTATTTGAAGACGTGCGCGAGGTGCGGGAAACGTCAGCGGCGCGAGTTCTTTTCGGGTCGCATGTGGGCCAACGTGGCTGATCAGGACCGCAAGTGCATGCGTTGCGTCGAGGAGGCGAGGGTGCAGCGCGGATGTTGGAAATGCATAGGCTGCAAGGACGTGTTCCCGAAAGTGGATTTCTGCCGCTGGCTGGCCAAGCGGACGACGAAAAAATCAGATGGGAAGCAGCGCTGCAACCAGTGCTTCGAAAACGAAGAGCGTAAGAGGAAGGAGGTCGCCGATCGGAGTTGGGAATCGGTGACGAAGAAAGCAAGGTCGCAGTAGCGATGACGCGGCGGGGCGTTGCAGAATGTCGCTCGTTGCGGGTCCCCTGCGCGGTCCCAGGAACTGAGTCTCCATGGGGTAGTGGTGTCGGGGCGTCGCGGGGGCGTGGTGGGGGCGTGGTGGGGGGTATCGGTTGGTTGTGGGCGACAAATGGTGGGGTGGGGGGCCACGAGAACAGAGGCTCCATGGGGTGGGGATGCCGGGGCGGCGTGGTGTGGAGGGCATCGGTCGGTTTTGGGCGACAAATGGTGGGGTGGGGCCTCCAAGAACAGAGGCTCCATGGGGTGGGGATGCCGGGGCGTGGTGGGGGGCATCGGTCGGTTTTGCGCGAAAAATGGTGGGGCGGGGGCCCCAAGAACAGAGGCTCCATGGGGTGGGGATGCCGGGGCGTGGTGGGGGTTCATCGGTCGGTTTTGGGCGAAAAATGGTGGGGTGGGGGGCCCCAAGAACAGAGGCTCCATGGGGTGGGGATGCCGGGGCGTGGTGGAGGGCATCGGTCGGTTTTGGGCGAAAAATGGCGGGGTGGGGGGCTCCAAGAACAGAGGCTCCATGGGGTGGGGATGCCGGAGCGTGGTGGGGGGTATCGGTCGGTTTTGGGCGAAAAATGGTGGGGTGGGGGGCCCCAAGAACAGAGGCTCCATGATGGGGGATGCCGGGGCGTGGTGGAGGGTATCGATCGATTTTGAACGAAAACTGATGGGGTGGAGGGCCCCAAGAGCAGAGGCTCCATGGGGTGGTGATGCCGGGGCGTGGTGGGGGGTATCGGTGGGTTTTGGGCGAAAAATGGTGGGTGGGGGGTCCCCAAGAACAGAGGCTCCATGGAGTGGGGATGCCGGAGCGTGGTGGGGGGTATCGGTGGGTTTTGGGCGAAAAATGGTAGGGTGGTGGGCCCGAAGAACGGACGCTCCATGGGGTGAGGATGCCGGGGCGTGGTGGTGGGTATCCGTCGGTTTTGGACGAAAAATGGCGGGGTGGGGGGCCCCACGAACAGAAGCTCCATGAGGTGGGGATGCCGGGGCGTGGTGGGGGGCATCGGTCGGTTTTGGGCGACAAATGGTGGCGTGGGGGGCCCCAAGAACAGAGGCTCCATGGGGTGAGGATGCCGGGGCGTGGTGGGGGGCATCGGTCGGTTGTGGGCGAAAAATGGGGGGCCAAGAACAGAGGTCATGGGGTGGTGGGGGGTATTCGGTTTTGGGCGAAAAATGGTGGGTGGGGGGCCCCAAGAACAGGAGGCTCCATGGGGTGATGCCGGGGCGTTGTGGGGGGTATCGGTCCGAAAAATGGGGCGTGGTGGTGGGTATCGGTCGGTTTTGGACGAAAAATGGCGGGGTGGGGTGCCCCAAGAACAGAGGCTCCATGAGGTGGGGATGGCGGGGCGTGGTGGGGGGCATCGGTCGGTTTTGGGCGAAAAATGGTGGCGTGGGGGGCCCCAAGAACAGAGGCTCCATGGGGTGAGGATGCCGGGGCGTGGTGGGGGG